ACGCTAGAGTAGACTCGCGAAAAGTGTATAAGACACTTTTAAGATCAACTAAATAGCTAAGCCCAAGGGAAGTCGTTCGGGGAGGCCCTCCCTAATTCCACAAGGGTGAGAAGAAACACACACGATAACGAAACGTTGAATCATGTAGAACTCGTAGGGTAAATGCAAAGCAAATTAGGAAGAATATGCAGTAAGCTAAGCGAAGAGGTAAGCAAGGTTAGACTATACTACAACTACTAAACGTGTTATTTCTACTACTACACTACTACTTCATACAAAAAAAAACAAAAACATCTACAATCAACAATTACTTCAAATAAAATGAACATAAATAAGCATGCAGAATAAAAACTAATTCAAATTAACTACAAATAACTACAAAAAAACATGCAAAATAAAAAAATTAATTTGAATAAAATCAACTTAATGAATTCTACTAGATGGAGCATGCAAGATAAAGAACTATTTCAACTACGGGGTCATCTTTGTCTTCTCCAGCGTCAATCTGAAACAGATACGGTAGTAATAGATTAATAAAGAGCAATTAAAATTAACTATTATCAAGTTTCTCACCTTAATTAACTGTAGACTGCAATCTCTCAATGTTTGCAGGTGTAAAAAGCAAACCAAATCCAGAATACCACGGCAGAAAGTCTGTTGTTCAAATAAGTTTCCAGTTGCTTCCACTCATCGGTTGAAAATTAACTGCATACGTTGCGAAGTGAAGACAAAAATTGCAAATGAAGACCAAGTCCAGAATAGACAACACCCATGTAGACATTGGCCGTTTCATACAGTCAAACTGAACTCATTTGTTCGATCATCTGCAGACATGGACAAAAAATATATTAATTACACTATTAAGTAAGGAAAGAATTAAACACACCCAAAAATAAGCACCAAAAAGCAAATAAAATTGCTGAATCATAATAAAATGGCGACAAACGTTATTGACACCATGACCATAGATAATGACATAAATATGGATAGTCATAGACGCACGATAATACGTCAATTTATACTCTCAACCATAGACATATAATAATAAAGCAGTATAAGTCGATGATCTCAACAATAGATTTTTAAAAAAATGAAATACCGTAGATACACGTTAACCTCAATTTATACTGTACAAAAGATAATTGTTTATTAGTAAGACATAGAGAGCAACTAATATGATGTCATGCATCCTCACCTTAATTAACTGCAGGAAGTAGCAGAAGTAGTAGTCTCCAAGTGTAATGGTCAAGCCAAATCCAAGAGGAAATCCACACTTGTTTCAGTCCTTTCCAAACTAATTTCCCGTTGCCTCCTTCTCGAAAGTTCAAAATTAACTCCATAATGTTGCAAAGTGAAGACATCAAAAGCATATATTACTTCAATAGCATCAAAATTAACTGCAATTCCTTCCCGTTTGTTGGATAATCTATACAAACGGGCATGAAAAAGTAATTAATTACCACTTTCAAAGCAAGTAAATCTGTAACATTCACACTGATGGAAACGTTAGCTCCACATTAATTCAGTTATGCTAATTCTGCCATTTCTGAAAAGTTGTCAAGTTGTCTAATGAAAGTAACAAACGTCTACGAAATTGTGGTCTGGGACCTCATTTACTGTTTTTAATTGATACTATTCCTTACCAGTTCATTCATTGTTATAAATCCTTCCTTTAGCAATGCCACACTGTCTCTGTTCCAAATGAAACAAAGGCACTGTCATGCTTTCTTTCGACACACGTGCAGATATTTTCTGGAGTGAATGTTCCTGTAAAATGAAATCTTATTGAAGAGTATTCACATATAATGGAGGCTCTCTAGAGGATGACGTGCATAATATAATGCTAAAGTTAATATCACATTAAATATAATATGTAATTGTGGCAAATAAATAAATATATATTTTAGTACGTATGCTCACCTAAATTAACTACAAGATCCTCCAAGATGAAAAAATTTGCTTTTCAGTGGCATCAGAATGAACATTCTTCCACTTTTAATTTATTGTCAATCTGAAAAAATAGAGAATAAAATTGAATAAACTACACCTTAAAATAATTAAAACACGAAATATAATGAAAATACGCACCGGAAAGTAACATTGCAAAATTTTAAAAATGGCGACGAAACGTCGCTTTTAATACAAAATGGCAAGATGAACAAAACGCATAAGATTCATAACATTTTTTTCAGGAGTATTCTTCTTCACTTCCACAGAAATTTTAATCGTTTTCTTCAAATTTTTGTTCTCTATGAATTCTCTTGACCGAATCCAGAATGTAGTGGTAGTGACGCTATAAACGCCAAAAGTATTTTCAGAAAAAATTTAAATAAATTCAAGTTAAGCAATACATACAATTTTAACAAAATAGTGATTATTACCTCGACATTTCATTATAAAAAGAAGTTACATAGATGTATGTACTATATATTCTTACCTTGGTTAGCTGCAGATTATAATGTTCTAAAATTCACACATGCAAAAAACAAAACAAATTTGGAAAGAAATAATGGCGTTTTAATGGTGAAGTTAGAAACAGGTGAAAGGAAAAATAATGGATGTGCATGTTATTAATGTACCATTAGTTATTAATCAAAATAAATATCTCTTATGTTCAAAATTCAATGATTTAATAATCCTAGTTCCTTAACTTTTTATCCTCTTACTCACGTTAATATATACAGAAAATTTAAAATAAATGCTCCATCTCTGCTGCTGTTTTTTGACATTTCTGAAATAATGTTAATAGATAGAAATTGTTCCCACTCGGGAGGGTACAGATTTAATGTATGTATATAAAATAGGGAAAGGGGGCACCGGTGCATACAGTACAAAACGCAAAGTAAATAAGTAATTGTGGTACAATAAAAGGATGTGATGAAACAGTTTCGGACAATAGTTATCTCTCTCACGATAGTGCGTAAGCGTGTCATGAAAGAGATAGCACTAGTCCGAAACCATACGCCATGTCCCTCATTTTTCGAGCCAAGAAGTTATTACAATGACATACGGCTAAGGCACGTCCGTGTTAATGTATGTCTATGATGATAGCCATATCACCATATGTAACAAGAAGCATTGGCGCTAACAAATTTAATCTTTTAAAATTACTAATTAATAAAGAGAAAACGTAACGAACGTAAATAAAAATATCTAAAATAAAATAAATCTTACGTCTAGGAAAAAAAATTAAAAAACCCTTTAAACACGAAAAAGCATGAAGAGCGTTCAAATAAGGAAAAAACAATATACTTATGTAACATTCGTTTTACACATGGATGCAAAACAGAAAATCTTAAGGTTTATTCAATAATGTTGTTCTACCTTTTTAATTGAATAGGTGTGCTTTAACAAATGATATTAGGAGGGTTTGATTACAGTAAAAATATAAACTTTGAAATTTATGTAAAATTTCAACAAAGTTGATGCCAAAAACCCTAATACCAGTAGGTTAGATTTATCGGAATAATTGAAACTATAAAATGTCACGTTTTCCAAATAAATTAGAGTTACTTAAAAACTATTACCGACGGATGTATGACTTTGGTGGAATTTTAATTTTGCGCCGACGATTCAATAAAATACCATTTATTCTCTACTTCAAATTAAAATTATTTTTAATACTTACTTGAGCAGTGGGCTATGGAAGAAAACGGAGACATTCAGTTATGGAAAGGCCACTTAGAGACATATTGGGAGCAGAAACAGGACTATCGGCAGATAGAGGAAAATTACATTTGTGTTCAAAGATAGTTTTCGGGAAATGCGAAGATTAGCTCAGGATAGGAAAGAGTGGAGATGCGTGTCCAACCAGTCTTCTTACTGACAAACCTCTGATGACGACGATTAACTGAGAAAGCTCTATTAAAATAAAAAAAGATTAAGAAAACTGGAAATGAAGAGCATGGGATAATAAAAACGCAAGAACAGAATAAATCGTCAAAATTGTCAGTATTTTTATGTGAAATTACATTATTTCATTTATTGTATTAATTTTTTTAAAGCATCAAAAAATATGGGCAATATTAGCGCGTCTGTACACTCTCTTGTAATATGATGTAACATAATATTTTTAGTATAACTAGGCACTTTAATATATTTTCTACCTACTCAGTATATTATTTAATGAAAAATTACTGGAAAATATTGATAGAAAAATGCATATCGTACATGCCATGCTCAAGACATTCATAACTATATACACATTAAAAGTTGCTTAAAACTGACAGTATAAATAACAGCTGCCTAATTAAACTTTGTCAAATAGACAACTAAAAGTACTTTACAAATAATATAATTCCATTTTCTAATTCTTAGCAATGTTTATCCCTATAGCTACTATTTGTATACTCATGAAAAATATTAATACTAATANTAATAATAATAATAATAATTGTAATAAAATACAAACAAACTGAAACTTAAATGGCAATTAATATAGAACTTAATGAAAACAGATGCTCAAAAAAATATTGCTGTAACAACGTATGAGCGGACTTGTAACTTTTATTGTTCTATAATTACTATCTCAGCAAAACGAAATTTTACTGCAAGCAATATTAAACAACAGACAATGTGACCGTTGCCGAGTGTCAGCACCAATCTGCCATATATGTAAACTCTCTGAAGAAAGCTTGTTCTTGTTCAGTTAAAAGCCTAGGATCTTTTGGAGGAGTCAGCTGAGGTTTTTCTGAAGTAAATTCTTCATCGAAATTACTTACATCCTCTAAGTGATTCTAAAATATCAAACAAATTACATTTTATTTTATATCATTTATAAGAAATGCCTAAAATTAGTTTTTCCAAATTCAAACGTAATTCTTTTAAATATTTGCATTAATACTCACCACTGTCGGTATGAATGGTGGTTTGACTTTACGATGAAGCAGATCTTCCCACCCTATGTGTCTGAAAAATGTCTGTTTCTTCACGTCTTCGGCATCTCTTTCACTCGAACCCAGTCTTCTTTCTGGATTTTTTCTTAATAGCTGCATAAAAACATTTCCAGCATTTTAAATCGTAATACACTAAAACTAACTTACCCTTCTCATAATAGCAATGGATTCCAATGATAAAAATCGAGGATAACGAACTTCATCGTTTACAATTGAGTCAAAAACTTCCTCTTCATCATCACCAGGGAATGGAGACTAAAAATTAAGTTTTAAGTACTTTTCTTAAAAAAAAAATCGTTCTTTGGTGTACCTCTCCAACAAGCATCTCAAATATCAGAACTCCTAGTCCCCACCAGTCTACTGCCCTTGTATAGGAAGTCTCAGTGAGAACTTCAGGGGCCAAAAATTCAGGAGTTCCGCAAAAGGTTCCTGTTCTATCCCCAAAACCCATTCCTTCTTTACATAAACCAAAATCTGCAATCTTCACATAACCCTCAGTATCTAACAATAGATTGTCTAGCTTCAAGTCTCTGTAAATAATTTTGTTTTCATGCAAAAACTGGAGGCCCAGAACAACGCAAGCAGCATAAAAAACCGCCCTGGGCTCAGTGAAGACGTCTGCGTGAATATGCATCATCAAATCCCCACCAGCCGCATATTCCATAACAAAACAAACATGGCCATCAGTTTGAAAACAAGCAAATAGATTAACCAAAAAGGGGTGACGAATCGAATTGGCAACTTCGAAAATGCGTTTCTCCGAAAGTAAAGACTCGACTTCGTCTCGAGCTATTATGTCTCCCTTCTTGAGAGCCTTGATTGCGAAATATTCACCTGTATTGCGGTACTGAGAAAGAATCACTTTACCAAAATGACCTCGTCCCAAAACGCTGATTAATTTGAAATTTTCAATAGTCATTCCACTATACTGAGAATGACGTCTGGACTCATACGCGCTGTCCCTGTAACTTAGTTCGCGAGCTGCTGGACGACGTACAACATTAGCTGGGTCGTAAAGAACCTAAAAGAAGAACCATATGTTATAAAATAGCAATTATACAATTATTTTGGTCGAGGGTTATATTACATTCGTTTTCATGGAAAAAAATGAAAATGTAAATAATTATAATGATGAAAATGTGATTAACATTTATGATGAATTAAAGATGTAGACATGTAAAAAAGTAAGCTGTCTTAAAAATTTGGTGCTTGGTGAAAACTAAATGAATACAAAATGCGACCGTTTCATTTCTAAAGTTGAGAAGGTCAAAACACAAAAATTGAAAACCGTTGAAAAAATGGGAAGTATACACATTTTGGACGCTATCCATTTTTGGTACACCAAATAACGTCAAATTTGGTAAAAATAAATATATGTAGGAACACGGAAATACCTACCTAGATTATTTTTCAAAAAAATTTCAAAATTTAGTTATTAAAAAAGCATTTTAAGTCAATTTTAGAAAACTTTCTCTAAGCAAATAATTATGTTTCATAATTATAAAAAATATATATGTAAACAGGAGACTGTTAGTACTGCAGGTAATTATTCATTGAAATAATAAGATAATTTCATAATCATGGTTATTCATGTTTTAAAAAAATTACGAATGCATACAACTAATAACTGTGTATTAATACCGGAAGACAGGGTTAGTGGATAGAGAAGAAAATGATTATTAAAGTTAGTGATTTTCCCCAATTTACTACACAGTGCGTATGTACCTCGTCCTCAGGAAATTCGACCAAAGGTTCAGGACTGGGGGGCGCCAGTGGCTCGAGGGGTGATGTGTCAGGGGTTGTAGGTACGGAAGGCAAAAAGAGTGGCCCAACGCGTACTACCTCACGCTCTTCGACATTCAAAAAATCGAATTCTCTCAGTGCAGCGCTCTGAAATGTGTCCTGGTGTCGGAAAAAACAAACTAAACCACAAACCTCCCTAAACTAAACCTACTTCCAAACTACATGTGCTAGAAATAAAACACATAATACTATCGAACGTAGAAATTTCTACAATATTTACAAAAGAAATGGGTAATAAAAGTAACATTTCATATTAGACAGTACGAAAAAGGCAGTTACAAAATGCACCATTAAAATATTGTAATTATTGCAAAAAAATGCTTATTTGGCGATATATAGAAAAAAAATTCTCTTAATGTTTTCATATAACATTTAAAAATTAATTTTACGATTTTTTAGTTAAAAAGATTTTCAGCAGAAATAATCAGCGAACGACAAATTAAGCTGTAATATACGAATAAATAGAGAAATAAATAATCTATTGCCTTAAAATTTAAAAGGCTTTTCAAAACTCTAAAAGCTACTCAGAAATTTCAGTTCAAAAGTTCATTTTTCTTATTTATAATAAAGATTTCCGTACTGTCTATCAAAACTAACCATTCTTCATATGTACATGAATACTAATACCATTTTGATCTACTTTTGTGGTATATGTGCAAGTATGTGTATTTTTGGTAAAAGAAAGAAGCTGTACATACGAAACACTAATATTAACCTTTAACCTGTTATTTTATGTTTTTCTTTTTTTTTTTAACTCAAAAACGAAACCATCCTTTAACATTTTTTTTATAGTACAATCGAGTTTATTTATGAACTGAATATAAAAATCCTACCTCATCCAAGTCCAAACGGGGCGGAAGAGGTGGAGGAGTTATAGGAGCCTTCTTTTTAGCAACAGGTGGCGGTGCAGGGGGCAAAGGAGGAGGTGTTTCTGGAGGCAAGGCAGAAACACCTAAATCCAGAGGTCTTTGACCTCCCAAACCTCCCACCTGAGGATCTGGAATTTCACCTGGAGTTTCCGGTTTATCTTCTTCTTGAACTTCATCCTGAACCTATTAGAAGTAATACACATTACAGCAACGAATTTTTTAAAAGAATAGAAGTAAAAATTAATTCACCTGTGGTTCGGGTGGACTTGGCGGAGGGACTACGCGACTCTGTTGAATTCCCGGAGACGACCTTTTCAACAGCCGACCCCAGGTGGCAACATTTATGTTCATTTGGGTTGCTCTTGGAAAATTTTTCACTTCCTGCTTAAATATTTTTCTTTGTCTCTGAAGTTTGGGTCTTCTAGAGATCATCGGGTTCAGAAACCGAATCTGTTTAAACATAAAAGGAGTTATAACGTGAACACATTCCGAAAGTGTTTTATACAATTCACCTCCGCAAAGAGTAACCCTTGAGGCTCTAATTGTAACGCCATTCCATGACGAACATCGTCAATGAACTCCTCCAAACGTAAGAATTTCACAGCGCATAAAGATCGCCAATCTCTCCAGTAAATGCCTATTTCTAGTTCTCTAGATTTATCTAGTTCTATTGAAAATCTATAAAGTTAATAAAAAGAAGCGTTATTTACACCGTTATATGAAAAAGTCTTTTAAGATAATATTATAAAATATTTTAGTTTTAACGCGGAATTTATTGTTTTTTAATTTGTAACTGTCAAGTGTACCTTTGATCCCATGCTTGTTGAGAGCAAAGTCTCCAATTCGTTTGAGCAACAGTTTGATTGTCCAGTTTTATTACAGCCATTATTTCATTACTTATTTCATCTTTCACATTATAGCTTTTCGATGAGCTGCGACCAGTCACTCCCTTAACAAATGACCGTAAGTCCGATGGGCTTGACGTAACATCTTTATCGCGCCTGGACCTTCCTGGCACATCCTCCAACAAATCCTGACATCCCATCAATCTCACCTCCAGAATCCCTACAAAACATTTACTTAATGTTAAACACTTTGTTAAATAAAAATACATCATAAATACAAAGTTTTCTCACTAGTCATAGGTTATATATATAATACAAAAGATAAATAATTATACTGCAAATTTTTATACACATTATAGTCATAAAGCACCTTGCAAAAAAATGCTGCAACCGCCTTCTACAAAGGAAGTATCAAATTAAGAGATGATCAGAAAACATGTTGACCCTTTACTAAACAAAGGATATGAATAATCAAAACAATTAAAAGTCGCTCACCTGTTACTGCTGCACATCTGCCAAACGACGAGAAGGAAGAGTGCAATATTTTGTTTCCGTCCGGGGGTTCCCTAAAGGGCTGCAAGCTAGTATACTGCACCGGAACTGGACTGGCCGCTTGCACGTTCTGCAATTCGTGCTTTAACTGAATAGCGGCAGGACTCTCCGCGGGTAATTCTTGCCTACGAAGCTCTAAAGATTTCCTCAGCAGGTCCAATTTTTTGCTACTTGCTGACAAACTGGACTGAGCCTAAACAAACAAATTTGTACATTCACTGTTATTATATCATGCTGAGAATATCAAGTGCAGTATTTTTAAGATAATAAAAATACAAATAATTTCAAATAAAATCGAAAATCAGCAATTATTTTTACTAATTTAATCTTTTTTTATATAAATATACATTGAAGTGGTTTGACATTCGTAAAAATAATCTATTTTAGAACTTATTTTCAAATAGCGTATATAAAATTAAATTTAAAAAAATGAACTTGGCCAACTCAAGCAGTTTAAATAAGGATAAAGAAAAATTTCCGAATCAAAACGTAAAATTTCCTATGAATTGCTAAAAGTAATATATATCTGTTAATGAGTAAAAATCAGAATTACCTGATAATTTAATATCTTTTCATATAATATAAATTACACTGCATCAGCGTATACTTCCTTTTAAGAAAATAACAAAAATTGGTAAAATAACGGTTTACAATTAAGAATTTATAAAATCTCTTCATTTAAAAAAAATGTGTACCGCAGAAAACATTTTCCAAAAATGTGTTCAGTACAACCATAAAAACAAATCCAATTAAATCTAATGACTTCATTGCATTCGTTAAAATTGTATCAGCTTTAGTAAATGTCAGAATTTATGAATGAATATTAAAATTAATAATACCCCGGGGTCAACGTCCTGTAATGTACGTTTCGTCATAGTTTCTAATATTATCCATAGTGTTGAATCACGCAATAAAAATATATTTTTAACTACACTCGGCATTTAAAATAACCAAAATCATCTAACGCATCATCTAAAATTAAATTCGATACTATATCAAATTTCCTAACGATAAGTTAAATGGTTGCTACTAATACAATAATTATGAACAGCTAAATACAAATCAAATAGCGCGGTAAACGTCATCTGTAGTACTTTATCATTAATAGAATTCAAAAATGTTCATTAGAGAATAGAAGTCCATAAAATATCAAACTTGTCGAACTGAAAGATCGTGCAGTGGCCAGTATCCATCGCGATTTAGACCTTCATGAGTCTCAGCAAGTCGTGAACAGTTCCAACAAGCACAGGGCCAATTGTACCTGCTGATTTAGACTAGGGTTGATGTCAGGCCGGTTTTTTATTAACCCTCCGGGGTCAACATCTAAGACAGTCCAATTTCCTTACCGTTCTCCAGACAACAAAGTTACCGAATTCAGAAAAGCTACCACGAATAAAACAAAGAAGTCCACGATCGTAAGCATTTTGTTGAAACTGCCAAATGCTGATCGAAATTTCAATTTTGTAGAGTCTTCCCCAAACAGTTTCGGTAGAACACCCACCAACTCTACCTACTGCCTAGAGACAGCGTTTTGTGAAGTACCACAAACGGCGTGGTAAACGCCATCTGTGGTACAATGTACATTTAGTGGAATTGAATATGTTCAACAAGGTCCATTTGCGTTGATGGATATCTCTTCCATCATGAACTATTCATCAACGTAAATAGACCATGTTGAACATATTGTATTCCACAGATGGCGTTCACCACGCTGTTTGTGATATTTCATAAAACGCTAGAAACAAGAAATCAAACCATAGACTGTTATCTGTTGATGAATAGTCAGATTTATTGCTTACTTATTTTACAGGATTGTAGTTTCATCTGCTTCCTTTCCGGGATTCACCAAGCCTTATACATTTATTGTGCATGAAGGTAGAATTTATACGTTTGTTGTAGGTTCTTGCCTTACTATCTCGCAATACATGAGTGATAGAGATCGGGAACGCCAGAAACACCACAAAAGATAAAACGTTATCAAAAAGTTTTAATCTTATAGCATTTTTTTTTAATTTAAATCATACTACTATAGTTTAGATTCCTTAAAAAAGTAATTTTAGTGATCCCAAAAATCACCCCTCCCCCCAGGGCTGGTTTTCTGTTAACAAAAAAGTGGCAACCCTACTTCAGACAGCATCTTATGAATTACTATTACAAAGGTGGTAAACGTTACCGGTAGTATATTACCACCTTTAGTGGAATTAAAATAAGGTTCAATAAGGTCCATAAGGATATTAACTTATCGAACGAAAAAATGCGTGTTTACAATTACACTTTTCCTTATTTTTAATCACACATTCTTACTAAAGATAAGTAACAGAAAAAATCATTTCACATGAAAAATTTCGATCAGGTACATACATATTTCTCCCGTAAACATTTTTGAGTTTCAGCTTTAAATATATATTTCTCATATCATGAATCCTAAATCTTAAATGTATACAATTGTTGTGCGTTATGAAATGGTGTAGAACAAAAAATATAATAAAACAGTTAAATATTTATTTAAACCTTATTGTAACATCAAATTATGTATGTGTATAATGTGAAACCGTTTTATAAAAGAAATAGAAAGATTAGGTAATTATGGTATAAGTAGATAGACATAGGGTTATATTTAAATTCCGATCCGATCTTAACCCTTTACAATAACAGAAATATTATTCAATATTCAGTAATGTCAAAAGAAAAAATATTCTCATCCATTTCTCTCAAAATAAATTCAAAATCAAAAAAAATATTTGTTATTTAGGTGCTTTTAAAAAACAAATGGTGTTACAATTTTACAATATACATGCAATAATTAATACTAACATTCATAAACAAATAATACGGTTTATCACAAATATCTATAGAAAGAAGTAACACCTAAAACATCATTTATATATAAAACAATATGTCGTGGAATTTGTTTTTATTTTAGTATACTGTTATTACAAATTTAAATGAAACAATTAAACAAATTACAAANTTAAACAAATTACAAATAATATATAAAAAATAATTATTTTAATAACGATTAACAAAAAATGTTAGTATATTACTTTTATATAAGTCAGGCATTTGCAATACAAAAAAATTTAATCAGTCTTTTAAATTTAATTGGTGTTGTATAGGAATTAGTGTAGATTAAAAAAAAAGCATTAAATTAAAAGCAAAAAAAAGCACAAAACTATTTCAAATGACCAGTTAGGGAAGTACATTATTTTTCAGCCGATTTTGAAAGTCTTTTTTTACTTATTTAAACATTACATAAATAACTCCTTTTTTTTCTTCAACTCTTTAGAAGCCACTAAATTCAGAACATTAAAACATCATAAACCGTCAAAAACCTTTTTTAAATGATTTTATGTTATGTACTACTTTCTTTTAGGAAAATCCTGAATCCGCTGATTTGTTTTTGAGACTTTAGTGTCTATGCTGAATTACTCAAAATAAATTGTCACATCAAAAATGAAACGAAGAAAAGAATTACGAGTCTCTCGGTTGAGAAGCATGTCGATTTTGTTTCCAGTTCATTAAAAAACCATCTCTGGAAACGTCACCGGTAGACATGGCGCGGCCCCGAGTTCCCAAACTTTCAAAAAACCTTTTGCAATGGTCACACGAACAATGAGGATTTTTCGCAGGTCCTATATGATGTCCCGGTTTTTTAAAAGCATCTACAACCGAACCAAACCGTTTCGCAACACTTCGAGGATCGGTGTACACCCCAGGCAGAAGTGTAAAGGGCGCTTTAAGGGTAGGATCGAATTTTAGACGTTGCTGGAAAGCTACAAAACTGGGGGTTCGTAATGGTGGCGCACTACCGATTGCATACGTCGCAGGTGACACTAACACTTGCGGTCTATCTGTGGTTTTATTGCTTTCTTTACTGGCTCTTCTCACAGTGACATCACGTTCTAATTTTTTATCATCATCTTTGTCAAAAGTCCAGCCTCGCTCTGAAGAACTGGAATCGCTTTCTGTTTCTTCTTTTGTAAGACTTTTGTCACTCATCCGGCTGTTAAAATAATCCTTCATCTTTTGCTGTTGGATGATGTGTTTCTTTTCCAATCTAGGCGTCTTTCTAATCGTTGGTTTCTCGCTCTTGTTCTTCCAAATTTCTTCCATGGTCTTGATCCTCCTCCTGTCTTCCGAATTGGCATACTCAAAACTGTCACTAGGTTGCAAACTGGCTTGACTGGAATTGTCCAATGATTTTCCCTTTCCATGGGTTTGCTCTTCAGTACTAGACAATCGCGATATGCCTATTTTATGCAACTGTTGGCGTTTCTTCTTTAAGTTGTCGATATACTCAAAACTGTCACTTGGTAAAATAGCTGAAGAATTTTGCTCTAATTCGGGAGCCTCTTCGATGCTGTCGGTACTTTTCTGACATCGTAAACTACGCGGAATAAAATCGGTGCTTTCTGCATTAGCTAAACTGGATTTACTAAACTTTAAGCTGTCAATATCAGAAAAGGTATCTTTCCAAGAAGTATTTGCGATTGAATCATAATCGTTGTCAGGCACAGCACAGCTGGATGTGGAATATGCGGACCAAGATAATGGAAACCCTGAGGCAAAACTGGACAAACTGGGAAAGCGAGAGTATGAACTTATTCTAGATGGATATGCAGTGCTAATGTCGTCGTCGTTATCAGTATCTTCTTGGGCCTTTCGACTTTGATCTATATGAAGGTCGTTTATCATTTTGTGTGGCAAGGCTTTATCCGAAGCTTGGGCATGCGTTACTCGCATTCGTTCGTTCTCGAATACAGTTTGAGGAGTTGAGGTACTTTTATTTTCACTCTCGAATTCCGAACTAGATCCGCTTTCTATGTCTGTTCCGGTACAGTACACATCGATATGTACGGTACGTGGTTTTTTGCTGGGCTCGCTAGATTTCGAGTCGGTCGATGCGGTGGTCGATTTCTTCTGTTTCGTTACGGGAGTTCTTCTTTTGACCTTTGCCGAATTCGACGTTGCGACTTTCTTTGAAGACTGATTAAATTGCAAGAACAAAAAAAAAACGTTTGAAAACACCAAAATGACAAAACGAAGAGGATGATACATGTGGGTCTAAAACTCTTCCTACGTTTTAAACCGCGAAATGCGTACAACGATATTCCAAATATAAAAATTGTACCAGATTACAGTGGACCTCCGGTAATCCGAAAAACAGTTTACAGGGCAGTGTCGGATTAGCGAATTTGTCGGATTATAGAGTACTGCCTAAGAACCCCTAACACTAAACAATGAACGCACGCTAGACCGCACCGCTATCTTCATCACATGTAGTCAAATTCAAACTAAGCGATCAGAATTAAAGCAATACTCTACGCGTCGAGCACAATAGTGGTGGTGCGTGCAAGTTATAACTTGTTCAATCATGCATTAGCGAAGATTGTCAAAAAAATATTCAATACATAATAAATAATAGACCATGTCGGATTACAGGGGGTGCCGGATTAGCCAGAGGCCGGATTATCGGGGGTCCACTGTATTAGCAAAAGGAATACACAATCAATTTTTCTAAAATTAAAAAATAATAGACACTGTTTTATTAAGCTTACCAGTTTTGTAATAAAATTCAGAAAAGGTCCAAAAAATATTTGAAGGCGCACGTAGTGATGGTTTGGCCCACAATATCTCAACCAAATTAAAAACAAATTCATTTTCTGTCTCTTTCTCTATTGCATAAAGACGATAACAATGAAGAAGGAATTGCACGTCGCTTATCGGTACAAGTTGTGACATCTTTTAGAGAAGAGGTAATTTAATTGTAAACAACGCATAACTAGTAATTTACTTACTACAGTAATGAATTTGTTTTAAATAAAATTTTAACACATGCGAATTATACATATACCTCATTGGGTTCGAGACTATCGGGTGTATAAGCGACTGACGAATCCGCGCGATAATAAATAGGTTCAGTCTTGGTCCTGGTCGCATACATCGCCCTTCTTCTGGCATTTTTTTTGGCATTATCATCCCTAACACCAAAACCGCTCGCTGGTATCAAAGGTGATGTACATTTATCTACCACTTCCGTAGTTTGCACACAAGCATCCTTCAACTTCCCAATCACTCTGTTGTTGTTCAAGAAACTTTGTCCACTGGACGACGCGGCTGTGTACGTGTACGTATTCGCTCTTGAAGGTCTTTTGCTACTGGGGCACGTTGAGGTTGTCTCATCCTCTTCCGCGGTCTCTCGAAGAGGAGAGAACCTGCTGGCGCTATCCTCGCGATAAGTGGAATGATGACACCACGGATCGCCGCATCCGTAAAAGCTGCTGTTACTTCCCGCGCCACATCTGTTATCTGACTTTGCGTTTGGGGTTTGGCATCGCAAACTGTGAGTCCTGGTGCAGTGACTGCCGTCGTCAGTCGAAGGTTGTTGATCCTGGTGGAAAGTGGTAGACAGGACGATGCTGCACGTGCTCCTGCAACGTCTGTTGTACGGTTGTTGAACGGGTTTCCTCGGCAAACTGCTGCTGGCGAATGATGTGGGAGACAGCAGTTCACTGCTGTATCCCGAATCTTTCTGATAAAATTTCGGCTGTGATTCCGCATTCCTTCTAGGCGGAACCGAGGTAAAAATGATATTGCCTTTTCTATATTCTCGGCTTTGTTCTTGTTGTTGAAAAGGATTCTGCTGTGGCTCTGTGGAACTGTTCCATTTCGTTTCGGAAGCTAAAGGATCGGATGTCCACGTGTAAACCATTCGAAGTGAACCGTTTTCATCCCTTTCGGTGCGAGTTTGAGGTGTCGGAGTCAGGTCGTTTATGCCCGGATGGGTTATGGTAACATGTGCGTGAAGTGACCATTCTTCAGGTCTATCCGTCATTTTAACATTATCTCACGTGTTCGCAATGTCAGTTATTATTATTAGTTGAATTTCTCGGAACAGATGTGACACCATTCTACGTTTCGGCCGATTAACTAGCATCCAGTCAATCGAAAAAGGAAACTACCGTCACCAAACGAAGCGACCGGAGAAACAGATAAGATTTTCGTGAAAATTTTAACAAGAGCGCATTCTTCTCAATCACATCACCCACTGCACGAACTGTAAACACGATTATTTTAAGAAAAGCGTCCCGTCTTTGGATCGTGTAAGCGGGGATTTTAGCAATGTTGCCGAGGCCACTGCGTATAATGTAATACTATATAAACGAGGAGGCTTACAAACCACAGCCGCCCAAGACCGACCGACGATCGGACGTTTTTAAATTTGGCAAAGAAACGAAACCTATTTCTGGCACAGCTGAATCCTTAAGTTACATGAAAAAACCTCCGCGCTGCACTCTACAACGCTAATAAACGACATTTTTTAGTTTTCACGACCAGCCAATTTTCGTTTCATGTGTCAACACTGGCGATGTATTTATGTCAGGACCTGAACATACACATTTCCACCTGTGCAATGCCGCAATCATTAACATAACTCACGGAAACGTACGAAATCGCAAAATTGGACGATGGACAATTTAGGTCCTAATTAAAATAAAAAATATGCTTAATAAAGACACCGTGCAAGTAGAATTTGATTGTCGATTCTGCTAAAGAAAAGTTTACTACAACATGGTGACGTAAAATACGCACGATATCCACCTTACATTCCGTAGTTGGCGCAGCAAGGTGTTTCAGTTTTGGTAGATAAAATCGCGTATTTGATTATTCCCTTTTTAAATAAATTCCTACCTGGATATGTACCTTCAACAACCTTAATTATCTACTTATTGTTTTGGAACGTTTTAGTTTTATTTTACGATTTTTTTAAATTTTATTAATCTAATAATTTTTTATTTCAGAATATGGTAAAGAATGTTCGTCGATACCAGTGAATAAACTTTAACAAATCTTCCAAGATAATTTTAACCCAAACACCCCTCCTTTTGCAAAGTAAAGGAATCCTAGAAAAAGGATTTTTTAAAATTCAACCCCAAAAGAGGTGAAAAAGCGGTCCGAAGTTTGATGTTTCGATCAAGGTAGAACCCGAGCCGCTAAGTCAGGCAGATTGAAATTTTGCATGAAGATTCCTTATACATACAACAATATCAACCATTATAAAATTAATTTTCAAAATGCCACCCTTAATATGATCGAATACCACGCGCACGAAGTCGCGATCAAGAAAAGAAGGTTAAAAGTATTTGTAGGTACGAATGGTTGTTTCATTCCTACCAACTACTAATGCTGATGGTAGAAGGCCGATTCCTTGCGGAAGGTAGGCGAATGGCCCTCTTAAAATCGTAGGAATGGAGGGGTGAGTGACAACGATTAGACAGATGAAATAAAAACAGAAGACAATGAATGATTATCTGAGGATTTGCCTAAGTTCAGTGATGGCTAAAGGTATTTATGTGCAGTAGAATCCGCTTATAATGACATCGAAGGAAAATGACAAACACGCCATACTATGCGGGCGTCATACAAAGCATGGTCTTTGGAAATAAACAACTTTCTATTTTGGTTAGTTATTTAGTTTAATAGAGAGAAAAACTACAAATTGTATAAATTTATTAACAGAAAAAGAAAAAGAACGATGAATTGTAATACCAATATACATAAGAAGGGTCAGAAAAATGAACTAAAATGTTATTATTAACCATTCGGGTCACTATAGCCGGATATTATTTCTTGAGAATCAGTCATAATAAACGATATGTCATTTTAAACAGAGTCAGTATATTCAAACTTTCCTATAGAGAATTTAATATGAAAACCGAACTTAACACTGCAATTAGTTCATATTAAACGGTTGGTCAATATAGGAGGAGTCATAATAAACGAATTCCACTGTATTCGACTTTTTTTTTTTTTTAAAATGATGCTGCGATTTGAATTGCGTATAATAAAATATCACTACAATTAGCTTGCCACTACTATAAAATAATATACGTAATAATTTAGAAACCTAATCTATCCGTAGAAAGGTAATAACAAATAATATGGGATCCATTTTTCCCCACTGCGTAAAACCGGAGTCTTTCGAGGCAAATTCAGACCAATGAGATGAAATTTTTAGACTTTTTCGACGATATTTTATAAGAAAATAATTTCCAAAAAATTTACGTGGATAAGTATTTCAATATATGTACATATATGTAGCTGATTAAGTAATAACTCTCCCCGTATTACGCAGAACTTCTAACGAGAGAAAAATGGGAGTTCTGTACTTTGTCATCACGTGTTTGGACAACGGCCAGATCACGATTGCAGTAAACGAAAGGGTAATTACTATCTCACGCACACACATGTCTCCACACAGAGAGAACAAAAGATTCAAACCCGGAATAGGAATCATTTCAGATCAGATGGATGATGTACATAAGAACACGTACATGGAGCACAGACACGACATGTGTACACATTAAACAAAACAAAGTCTATTTCTAAAACATCCGCACTTGCTCTCGATAACGACATAAGGAAAGAGGAAATTGAACGGATTACGAAATGTGTACCATACGTTGCTTCTTGTTTAAAATTAATTAAAGGGGACAAGAACGTGTAATCGATTACAGTTGCCAGCGTTTTTGTGTCAATATTTGTAGGAAATCTCAAAATTTCTTCTTCATTTTAAATCGACAGGATTCCATTAAAATCTATGCGATACGACGATTCAATTGCGCCCCAAAGGAACACGTACCATAGTAAACAAGGTTTATGTTAAATAGTACAAATTATAATGAAACATTCAAAAGGATATGACCACGATAACTTTTTAGCAGCGCTTTCAGGGTTTGTCTAGGGCGCCTCTAATGCCTTTTACAGTCCTGCATACACCTGACAATCAATACATTGATTCCGACAACTCTCAAGTATGCCCGCGGCAGGGACCGACCGATGGCAGGTAACCTTTTTACAATAAATCATATCCTGAGTGACACATATTTGCCTGCTTAACAATAGCAATTTCACAATTTTCGAGAAGAATAAAGACCCTTCCGGAAAATTCGGTAACAATATAAATAGGGCTTTGGATGACAGCCGGGGTCAATTACTTACTACATGAACAACTAATCAGCGATACACATAATTAAACAGTGCGAATTACAGGCGAATACCGAGTGATATAAATAATACCGTGGGATATAAATAAGAAGTAATTGAAGTGTTTAGTGAGTGCTACTGTGTAATATAAATATATGTAGGTAATATAAATAGTCGTTAAATAAATAAAATAACTAACTAGAAAATTCGTTACAATATTATACGTTAACCATGTGTCTTGCTATACAACCAAGTATTTAACTTTAGAATTATGCTGTAAACAGTGTCGACCAATAATTCGAAGGGATATTTATTTTTACCATTTTTCTAACGAAATAAAATTCGTATTTAGAAAAGTAACCGTTACACAATTACACTTTATAAATAAACAAACATCAACTTTATCTATTATCATTACAGTACATTTATCGACATATACGCAAACACGTACGGACATCGTTGTTCTTGCTTCTCGCTTATAATAGACTTGTCTTTTTGCTGAATAAATAAAACAAAAGCAACACGTTTGCATAGAGTTCGCACATTGAATCACCGTCCAGGTTAATGACATTTAAACGCGTGTATTTGTATACAACTTATAAGGTGGGCGTGTTAAAAAAAAACGTACAAGTGTAGTCGTAATAATTAATTATATGCCACGAAACCAAATTAAAATACGTATCCGTTGTAAGCGTACTGACAGGGGCGTCATGACGTGAATTGCAGTCATGGCACAATCCGGGGCTACCTACATGCGATTTTCCCTAGCCACGAAAAGATAAATATTTATTTACCATTCCCCTGCCGAAAGTATTAGGCACTATGTTCTTCCCTGATTTCAAGGACGAAAGCTCAAATTCTCTTTCGGTTATGAAATGACATTTACTTCTCACTAAGAAAGGATTTGGTAAAGGTGGAGATTAAGCCCCTACCTACGATGCCCTTACGATTAGAGTATGTTGTAAAGCATGGGTAAAAGTCTAGATGATGGCCCCCACCCCTTCAGGGGTGGGGGGATCGAAAGAAGAGGTCTCCCCACCACTGTATCATAAAAAGTTATGGGGGTTCAAAGTTAAAAAATATGCCAATTTTTATACATTTCTAGGCATGTAAATATTTATATAGTCATTCTTCAACAATATTCAAAGGTAAAACTAATGGAAAAATACATAAAAATATTGNATACATAAAAATATTGAGGAAGTTATATAAAACATTTAGAGATTTAAATATCTTTATCAATAGGGTAGGTTAGGTTAGGTTCTTTCGATCCCCCACCTCCACCCGCTTGAAAATATTTTTTTTTATTGAATTTTATATGAATTATGGTGTATGAAAATTGTCAAAATAATCAACTTTCGAACCCCATAACTTCTTATGGGGGTGAGACCACCGCAAGTTTTTATGGGGTTTTACTCAGGTGACCACCCTCTTTCGATCCCACCCACCCCACCTCCAAAGGATCATCTAGACATCTCTACCCGACTGGAAATTAGTTCAGAGAACCCGGATTATGATCAGATGCGGATCACATTTTCCGTAATACGGGCACCTGATCAGTTTCTAATCAGAGTACAGTACTCTATCCGTTGATCCATCGATCTAATCAGTTTCTGATCAGAGTGCAGTACTCCATTCCTTGATCTGGTCATGCGATCAGAAATTGATCAGCGCACAGTACTCTGTCTGTTGATCCAACCATCTGATCAGAAATTGATCATAGTAGAGTATCCTACCCTTAATCCAGTCATCTGACCAATTTCTTATCACAATCTAATGCTACAAATTCTAACTGGACTGAACTGGATCATAATACAGAACTTTATTTTTTACCTGATTTATTCTGTATGCAATATTGTTCGTCAAACAATGAACA